GTGTAACGTTGAGAAGTGTATTATTGTGCTTTAAGCTGCCCATACACCTTACAACCATCGCACGACTTTCGTTATGCGATGGTTGTAAGGTCATTAAAATCTCGTACGCTGAGGGGCGGGCTTCCGATAATCGCAGTGCTGAGTGGGCAGTGTGCGCTTACGGCATTCGTCTTCCGACCACGCCACCTACCCACCAAAAATCGTACGATTTCCGGCAGGTTTTCCAGCGTGCTTGGAAGACGAAAGTCGTACGACCTTACAGTAGAAGCGGTCGCACGCTGCCCATACACCTGCCGATTATCGTACGATCGCGGGATCACCCACAACTATCGTACGATAATCAGCGGGTGTATGGACACCTTTAGTGTATGTGTACATTAGTCCCCATTCACACCTACAGTATATTTCAGGTGTGATTAGAGATTCCTGTGTCAGGAACTTGCGTTTTCCTGCAGCATGAATCTCTAATCTGCCGTTTACAAGCGGCAACTATCATAAGATAAGAATTATCATAAGATTATTTAAGAGGGTGTGTTAGGGGTGGAGTTATGGCCGGGGCAGGGTAAGGGTTAGGTGGGGCAACTGGTGGCTAGTGACTCTTAAGGCCTGGCTCAGGACTTGAAATTTTGAGCCCTGGAGTATAGTATATTGAAACCGCAAGTTAGCGAAGAAACATTACAGTTATTCCTCACTTAACGACCGAGTTCCGATCCTACGACCAGGTCGTTAAACGGATTGGTCGTTAAGTGAGGAACTCTATACAGTACTGTACTGCATTAGTACAGTACTGTATAGCGTTGCCGATGTACAGTACCGAACAGTGTACCGATTTTCGGCTGGTTAGAACGGTGCTCGGGAGACAAATGCCGAACGGGCCGGTGTGCGCATGCGCACACTGCCCGTTCAGCATTGCGGTCATCGGAAGCCAGTCCCTCAGGGGGGCAGGCTTGCGATGATCGAGAGTACGAAGACCAAGATGGGCAGATCGTACGTTTTTTTAATTACTTTACAACCATCGCAAGACTAAGGTCTAGCGATGGTTGTAAAGTGTATGGCCACCTTAAAGCTTCATCACGGATCTACCTGCAGTGATTGGTGACCCCCAATAACAGGTGACCGCTATTGTCTGCTGCTATTTTGCTTGGCCTTTGCTCTCCGTGGTCTTGATGAATAAGCTTATTGTGTAGAAGAATCCTTGCTCAGTCTCCTGCAGACTAAAAAAAAAGAGACCATACACGTCAGATGCTTGCTGCTCAATCTGGTTGATTTTGGGCGGGTCGAATGAAAACCCCCCTGTGTATGGGCCTCTGCGGGCATCGCCTGGCTGATAGATTTTGGGAAAGCAATTTATAGGTTAAAAGCCTTTCTGTAGGCCTACAAAACTAGAGTCTATCTGACAAAATGCACAACTGTACATGAAACATCCACAATGCTCCTGGTAGAGACCATGTGTTTCCCCGAAAATAAGACACTTTCTTATATTTTTTGGGGCTAAAAAAAACACACTAGGTCTTATTTTCGGGGTGGGTCTTATTTATTTATTTTTGAATGTACAACAATCCGCACTTATTCATGTACAACAGTCTTCATGTATTCATGTACAAAACTATGGTGATGAGGGCAATCAGGGGTGCCGTACCTTTCCAAAAGCAATTTAGTTACCAATCTGCATTTGGTATCACTCGGCCAGTGACAGGAGGCGGCGCTATAGTTACATAGTTAAATAGTATTTGAGGTTGAATAAAGACATTAGTCCATCAAGTCCAACCTATTAGGATCTCATTCTAGGAGTACCCGTACCCCTGTATGTTACCTGTACCCCTGTATGTTACCTGTACCCCTGTATATTACGGTC